GACTAGAAAAAACGAGCTAGCGAAAGTGAAAAATGCTTCTCCCAAGCCAGAACAGTGACGAACGTGCCTAGGCAGGAAAACCCGAGGTATAGCTGCTTGAAAATCGTTTAAAACGCACCTTGACTATTATTGAGTATCCGATCCGGGTCGCAAATGTACATATGCTGTCTGTTGCGTGGCATCACTGCAGCGCATTGTACCACACTGGGACCACGCAAGTCTGGATACTGTCCCGATGTCCATTGGGACTGTGAACTTGCAGCCGAAACAGCCCATATCGTGAAAATCGCAAGGGCGACTATTGAAATCATGCTGCTGAAATGAAGACAACTTGTTGTTTGTTTTTCTCCTACTTAGATGTTTTACGAAATTGGTTAGCTTTTTATCTACGTGGTTGTGACCGGACTCAAGCGGTAACACAACTACTACTACTTCCTAAACCACCGCCATAGCAAATGCCCTCTTATCTCTCCAATATAACGAGCTCAAAGAGACGATCTCCGGCTCCACTTATTAAGGGCACGGTCCGCGATAAAGAGCATAGGTAATAGTGTTAAAATATGGAAGAGAAGTTGTCAAGTGACTCGTCTGTGAAGAGAAAATCCCAAAGGGATTGTCGAAAACGCCTTTGATAGAACCCCTCCAGCCTCAAACAATTGCACGGATAAAAGGTCAAAATACCACACCTTGGGACGAGCCCGTTGGGTTGATTCCTTGCAATGAACCCTATGACCCCACAAGAGACAATGGAGCCTCCATTTCATGCTTCTTGTCCGCCAGCACCGCTTTTAGTTGGAAGGCGGATTTTGAGGCGGAGTCTGGAGGCGGGGTCATGGAAAGAGGGAGGTACCACTGAACAACTTTACGCCTTATCTTCGTTCCCTTCCCCTGCGAAACTGGCACAAAATGTCCACTGCGGACCACTCTATCCTACCAACACAATTTTTTTTTCGAACCTTTAAAATTTATTCATTCATAGTTCATCGCGGACCGTTCTTTTAAACGACGAAACCACCCACTTATTGCCTAGCAATGACCACATATCAGCAATCACTCTGGTGATTATATTGGTGATTACATGGTTGTCAGAAGAGAAAAATTTAATCAACTAGAGCCTCAATGATCGGACCAGAATCATGGGACAACCCACTAACTTTATGTGCGGGCTGCACCAAAACACTTG